CCTCAGGCAGTAAAGGAATAATGTGTCATATTATTGTAGCTTGTCGTCCCAGGTTCAGAATTACTTCTGTGATATACACTAATGACATCTTTCCCTTTGTAATTCCCCACCCCTACCCATCAATCTGCCCTAGAGAATCTAATTCCTTAGGGAGATCTTTAAAATATGTGTTAGGGGAAAAAAGGGTGATCTCCTCAGCCTGGGCATAGGAGACTCGGTGCCCACCCAGTCTGATTTCTGTTCTAAGCATTATGAGAATTTTAGACCCTAGAAGGATCTCTCTAGTCCAACCCCCTGCTCAGGCAGGAAACCCTATACCATTTCAGACAAATGGCTGTCCAGTCTCTTCTTAAAAACCTCCAGTGTTGGCGCATTCACTGCTTCTGGAGGCAGGTTGTTCCACTGGTTAATTGTTCTAGCTGTCAGGAAATTTCTCCTTAGTTCTAGGTTGCTTCTCTCTCTGGTTAGTTTCCATCCGTTGCTTCTTGTCCTGTCTTCAGGTGCTTTGGAGAATAGCTTGACCCTCTCTTCTTTGTGGCAGCCCCTTAGATATTGGAAGACTGCTATCATGTCACTCCTAGTTCTTCTTTTCATTAAACTAGACAGACCCAATTCCTGCAACCATTCTTTGTATGTTTTGGCTTCCAGTCCCCTCACCAACTTTGCTGCTCTCCTCTGCACTTTTTTTCTTCTGACCTCATATCTTGATTAGAGACAGGAGGTCTTGCTCACTTGAGTTCTTAGCAAACACACAATAATGCGTGCTATTGCCTTCCCTTGTTCACATTGGCTGTTTGCATACATGTTTGCCCCATCTTTAAATGAACCGAGGCTGAGTTGATTGCAGCTATTTCCTGGGAGATGTTGAACTGCTGACTGACTAGGTAGGATAAGTTGTTTCAACATGCTGAGCTAAATTGAGCGGGTTGCGCATCCGTAGCTAATAGTAAACAAAGAATAAATAAATAAATAAAAGAAAGCTAATTGTGACTATTAAACGTTGTGGTGAAGCTTTGCGGAATGTACTTAAGAGCCAATAAAATCCTCTAATAAATGCGGTGTTAATTAAGTTAGCCAAATAAGCCCATGACGTCCACTTAAAAACAGTAACCTGAGATTATTACTGGATGAGCTACTTTAAGTCGGATGAGTCCGGTGGGAAAAAAATATGGGAAGGTTATTGATAAAACTTGATTTTTGCTTTTGTTTTGTCAAGGATTGCCTGGCGAATGAAAGGAAATGTTCCTTGTCTTATTAGAATTAAGCCTCAAGTTACTGGACCTCAGTACAGGAAACTTTATGTGGAAATTTTCCAACAAGTTCCTTCATTTTTGCAGTTGTGGTGCAGTGGTTAGAATGCGGTACTGCAGGCTACTTCTGCTGCCTGCCGGCTCAAGGTTGACTCAGCCTTCCATCCTTCTCAGGTCGGTAAAATGAGGACCCAAATTGTTGGGGGCACAGCTATAAAAACATTTAACAGACTAACAGAGTTGGAAGAGTTCTAGTCCAACCCCCGACTCAAACAGGAGATCCTATACCATTTCAAACAAATGACTGTTCAATCTTGACCAGCTCAAGGTTGACTCAGCCTCCCATCCTTCCAGTAAAAGGAGGACCCAGATTGTTGAGGGCAACAGGCTGACTCTACAAACCGCTTTTGCACAAATGTACCTAGTCCAGTATTAAGGTAGCCCTGGTTAGATCTTGGCTAAGAGACTGTAGGAAAATTTGAGAGCAATAAGGAGAGATTCAAAGGTTAAAAAAAATAAAAAGTTTGGAAAATAAGCAGTGGCAAACCACTACTGTATTTGGGGAATAGTTCCCTTGAGGAAAGCATTCAAAATGTGCCTTTTTTGGTCACCCTTTCTCAATCTTTGCTTCTGCACAGATAGTCCTCAACCTATGACAATTTGTTTGAAGTTACAGCAGCACTGAAAAAAGTGACTTATGACCATTTTTCACACTTACGACCGCTGCAGTATCTCCGGGGTCACGTGATCAAAATTTAGACACTTGGCAACTGATTCATACTTATGACGGTTGCGATGTCCCCTTTTGCGACTTTCTGACAAGCAATGGGGGGTTCACTTAACAACCATGTTAATGGCTTAACAAGTGCAGTGATTCGCTTAACAAATGCAGCAAGAACGGTCGTAAAACGGGACAAACCTCACTTAACAAACTGTCTCAGTTAGCCACACAAACGTTGTGCTCAATTGTGGACGTACGTCAAGGACTATCTTCATTTCCATTTGAAAGACCGCAGTGTTTCGTGCACACCTCTGTCTCTGACGCCTCCTGAACAGATGGAATAGAGACAGTTTATGTCCAAGGATCGTTAACGGGACCCAATCAAGTCCAGGCTTGATTAATTTGACTAGAGGATTCAGACACTCTATTAAAAATCATCCAAGGGGAAGCAAGCAAGCCTCATTGGAAATAACCGCCTCTGTTATTTTTCTCTGACGATCTGGAATTTGGAAATTAAGTCAGGTTTTACAGCTGCTTTCAACTACAAGAAGAAACGTTTGAGCACTTGGGGCTGTGTCTGTTTAACTGGGGAATAAAATGGCTTATTATTTAATTCTTTCACTGTATATATAGAAGCACGAGGCCGAAAACACCAGCCTGAAGATGACGAATGAGACTTTGTCGAAACGTCGCCAAGACACTTCCAATTTGACGCGGGAGAAAACCCGAATAACCAAAGACCTACATACAAACACCCGCGAAAACTCTATATATATATATATATATATATATATATATATATATATATATATATATATATATAGAGAGAGAGAGAGAGAGAGAGAGAGAGAGAGAGAGAGAGAATGCTGTATGTTACACCCTGTTGACCCAAATATGGGAGAGAGAAATCTTTTGCCTCGTATCAGCTCAAACTAGAGCCATCCACAGGCAGCAGTCACAACTGTGACATCATATACATTTCTAAAATTTGGATTGCTAGCAAAGAATTAAGGGAGAACTGGAACAGCTATTTCGAACTCTTTAGCTCTTTTCAACCAGACATACCCTTCTGAGATTCGAACCTGGGCTGTCTGCATGTTAGGCAGCTGTATTAAACCTCTAGGCCACAGGCTCTGTCTCACTTTTGCCAGCTGTGTTAGGGAGGGAAGAAACAGGGGAGGAGTTATCTAGAATGCTGTATGTTACACAAATATTCCTCGCCTATACAGCTTAGAGGTCTATTGCCTCACCACCCCCACATTTATGGAGCTGAAAAGGGAGTCAGAAGTTCATCATTTTCCAGATTCTGCATCGTTACCTTTTTATTCAGAGCTCAATGAGGCTCTTCTAATGGACGCGGGGGATCAGCTGTCCCAAATCAGGTGCCAAACCTCAGATGGCTTTTCATTTTGCCCCGGAGTAAAAGAGAAAGAATCATGTGGGAATGAACCTGGCACAAATTTAGACATCAGCTATCCTCCTAATTGCAATGGACAATCCAAAACTCTTCACTGAATTGGAAACATCCTGGGCAAATAATCAGTTTAGATGCTGGAAAGGTTTTGTCTGTGTGTGTGTGTTTTTTTCTGACAATTTGCTCAGGGGAGAATGGAAATTGATGGACAGTGATAGAGTAAAACCTCTCTTTGCAGAAAGGGGAAAAAATGGTGGAGGGAGAAGAGGGTGGAAAAAGGACAGCCAGGTTATTTTTGTGATGCCTCAAGGCCACCACCCAACAAGGAACCCTCATGTCAACCCTAAGCCACAAATATTTTCCTTTATCGGTAAAGATAGAGCCAATGCTCCTGGCTATGCGTCACCTCTGGACCACCTCGCAAGGCTGGCACATATGTACTTCCTCTGCCAGGGTGGGCTAGAAGAGAAGAATAATGACCCAGAGGCCTTTGCTGTGAAGTGACAGCAGTTTCCTTTGGTAGCACAAAACACTCCTAGGGGATCCCGTTTCCCTCCCTCCTAACCTCGGTTCCCCTGAGACTTAATGGACGCCCGTAGTGCTGTTCCCTGCCAAAGGTTAACGCATGCTCCAGTGAAAATAAATTATACACAAAAGCAGGTATAGGGGGTGCCATGGAGTGGCACCTAAGCGTAACTTACCTTGACAATGACAAACAAAGAACAAAATAGTGTCGCGACTTTAGTACGGCTCCCCATTTTCTAGAAGAGAGATATGCTAACGCCCTCTTTATTTACTCGTTAGTTCCTCCTTTAAAAAAACACAGCCATCCATTTTCCTGCCACCCCTGCGCCAGGCCCAGGCTCTCCTTTGCAATTATTAAATCACTCCCCTGGTGAAATAACAAAGGGGGGCTAATATGCTCTCTTGCAAAAGGCGGGGTTGTAAATAGCAAGCAGGCATCGCCTGGTTAGGAAGCAGGGATGTACGGGTGGGATCCTGGTCCCGAATATCAAAGAAATTCACTCCAGGTTTTACCAGGAATAGACGTGTGGGATTGAAGGACTTGGTTCTCTTGAAGTTCAGTTATTCTTCCTTCTTGGTGTCCTTCTCACTACAGGTTGTCCTGTTCAGGTGTTGAAAGGATGCAACAAAGGTTCCTAACGTGGCAGGCTAGTCCAGCTAAATTGGGTGAGTCCCCTTGCCTGTTTTGGGGGGCAAATGCTTGTCCATTCTGGTTGACCTCATGAACCTATACTAATAAAGGTCAGGAGGCTGTTTTGTTTTGATCCAAAGGCTGTTTACTTTGATTTTTTTCTTTGGGATAGTCAGCCTTTTTAAGGAGAAGTGATCGCGTCAACCTCACATTTGTCAAAGAACATACATTTTCTTTTTCAGAGATCAATTAGTAAAAAAAAAATGGATGCTATATTTCCTCTGTGAAGAAGTGGCCCTTGGTAGCAAGTGGCTGGTGGGTAGATGAGTGATTTCCCATCGTCCTTTCCCAGCTCCAGAAAGAGGAGAAATGCTTCAATGATTTGTCCCCATGACAGCCAGAAGCATTGGTCAAAACCAGAAAGACAGCTCATTAATTAATAGATCAAGTTTTACTTACCACACAACGGAAGGCTGGGAGAAGGTGTCGAATTTCTCAGATGCTGTGTGTCATCGGAGAGAGACAATGGAAGAAGGACCTGCATGGAGGGGGAAAAAATGGTAGGTCTAAAATATACCCTCAACTACTCTGTGTTTCCTTCTTCCTGGAGATCCATCTCCTCACTACACTCCGTCATAACTAATCACTGCATTCCATTATGTAGAAAAGAGGTCAGTTCAAGTAAAGGCTGTTGTGTGACCACAGCTGTGCAGATTGTCAGAGCTGTGGTGGCACGGTGGTTAGGATGCAGTCTTGCAGGCTGACTCTGCTCACTGCCAGGAGTTCAATCCTGACAGGCCCAGGGTCGACACAGCCTTCCAGCTTTACGAGGTCGATAAAATGAGGACTGAGATTGTTGGGGACAATATGCTGATTCTGTATACAGCTTAGAGCAGGGGTAGGCAACCTTGGCTCTTTTATGACTCGTAAAAGAGCCAAGGTTGCCTACCCCTGGCTTAGAGAGTGCTGTAAAGCACCGCAAAGCGGTATATAAGTCTAAGTGCTCTTGCTGTTGTTAACTGGGCCTAGCTTCAAAGGAGGCTTTGCATCAATGAAGCCTCACCTGAAGGATTTCAACAAAGAGAAGCTGACCCTTTATTAGCTCTTTGCTCAAGAAAAGGGGGCTACTTTTCACAGTCCCAGAATTGATCTGCTTAAAACAAGGTAGCTGGTTGAAGTGGAGCAGGCCAGGTTAATTCCACCCCACCCCACCCCCAAGTATAAACCTATAATCTTGGCTAGTCAGGCCATGTCTCCCTGGATATAATATTTTTGGTATTCCAATTAATTTGCTAAATTCGTTGTCGCTTGCTGCTTCCACAAAAGACCTCAAGAGGCTTTGAGGACATCTTTTATGCCAACCGTTGTGACACATTAAATAGCCACTAATTTGCTTTACCTCTGGGTTTGTTCTTACAGGATGAGCGGTGTCAGAAATTAATCACCCCATGCAAATGTTGGGAGGAACTGTCTGCAGAAGCAAAGAGGACACTGGTCATAGAAGGAGAGAAAAATTAATGAAAGAGAGCCCTAAAGCTGGAACTTGGGGATGTCTCAATGAGCTGGTCAGGTGTCCAGCAGAACTGTAGCCACTGTAGGAGGTGACCAGGCTGAGCCCAAAGGAGGGGGTCAAATGTGTCATTAGTCTTGAGTCCCTTTGAGCCCACAGGAGATCTAAGTCCACCCCATCATGAATTCCACTGAATTCTTATCTACCCTCAATTTGCTTTGGATGCTAGCAGTTCAGATTCTTATAGAGAGCTTAAGCTTGCAATAAACTCTTATATTCATTGGAATTGCCTGGATTTTTGAATTTCTTGGGCTTGACAGCCCCAGCCAGCCTGATGTGGCTCAGTTTAGGCCTACCAGCTTCTTCCCAGGTCACCACTGGAAGGAGAACCCATGAGACAGGGTGAAGCATCTGCCCAAAGAAGCCAAGAATTGTTGAAGCCACATGAAGAGTCTTGCATCTCCCAAGACCATCAGTTCCTGTCAGATGCTCCCCTGTTCAATCCTAGGTGGAAATTCAAATTCGAGCAGACAGATGAGGTGGCTTGGCTGTGATAAGCTATTTAGCTTCTCTAAAGTCCTTCATGCTCTTTGAAAACAGGGCTACTAAATCAATAAGGTAACCGGTAATTTTGATTCTAATTCCTCTTCACGGCCAAACAGCGATACACCAATGAGACAGGCATGGGGACATACCGACACGTGAGATGGACTAGCAGGTGAGAAAGCATAACTTGGAGAAAGTCTGCAGGTTCAAGGCCAAGTTCCATCATGGTGTTCCTCAAGAGGAAGCACAAGGATTGAACAACTGGATCCCATGAACCACTTGGATAACAGCTCTGCCTCCAAGCCTCCTTAGATAATACCAGCTACCTGAAAGGCTGGAATCCAACTTCACACAGCCAATTTTACTGCACTTTTATTGACCACCAAGGACAGGGTTCATCTCTCTCCATTTCAATCTCCATTCCTCTCCTAAAAGACTTCCCAAGTCTTTATGTAACACCCTTCCTAATTGATAGAGAAACAGAGAGAGATTTTTAAGAGTTTTCATCGTATTCGAGGCAATCCTTTTTTTTTGCTTTGCTTTTGACCTGTGCACAGTTCAGCTACTTACCTAACTCACTCACTCACTCTCTCCATCATAGAAGAAAAGGCTCTTAGCTATAACTTCAATAATCCTGGCATTTCTATCACCCTGTTACATAAGGCTTATCTTCACTCTTCCTTCCATGAAAGCTGGCAGCCCCAAGAATACTCTCTTGGGGAAAAAAAAGGATGCTCCAAACGTTAAGCTTTCTTTCCAGTGTAATTTTGCCACTGTCAAGCTATCAGCAGTTCAACAAGAGGCTTTTTCTGGGGGTTCTGGTCTACAAGCAGTTTCCATCAAAGCAAACTCCCATCTCTGCTTTTTAATTCAATCTGTTTCTTTCTGTAGGCTGCGGAGGGGGGGGGGAGGAATCTAAAGGTCGTCTTGTGTTTCAAGCAGCAAAACATCTTCAGCTTCTGAAAAAAAAATTCAGGATGAAGAAAAGAAAGCAAAGGAGCAAAAAAGAACGGTGGACACCTAAACCTTTATTCTGGGTCTTCCAAAACCACTTAGCCAGGCAAAAGAAAGCAGAAGTCATTTCCATAATAACAAACCTATCTAAACAACCAAACCTGAAATCAATGTTTCATTTTTTTTTTACCCCACCTACCCCAAGCACAAAGACCAGTAGAGATTTCCAAATAGAAAAAAAATTAACTGTATTCTCTTCTGGCACAGAATCAAGATCATATGAGGTATTAGTACCGCTTTATAAAACCCTAGTTAAGACCACACCTGGAATGCTGCAGCCGCATCACAGAAAAGAGGTTGAGAGTTTGGAAAAAATTCAGAGAAGAGCAACTAAGATGATCCAAGGCCTGGAGGCTAAAACATACAAAGAACGGCTGCGGGACTTGGGTTTGGCTAGTCTAAAGAAAAGAAGAAAGAGGGGAGACATGATAGCACCGTTCCAGTATCTGAGGGGCTGCCACAAGGAAGAGGGGGTCAGGTTGTTCACCAGAGCACCAGAGGGCAGGACAAGAAACAATGGTTGGAAGCTGATCAAAGAGAGAAGCAACCTGGAATTAAGGAGAAACATCCTGACAGTGAGGACAATCAACCAGTGGAACAGCTTGCCCCCAGAAATCATGGGCGCTCCATCCCTGGAGATTTTTAAGAAGAGGCTAGACAGTCACTTGTCAGAGATGGTGTAGGTTCTCCTGCTTGAGCAGGGGGCTGGACTAGAAGACCTTCAAGGTCCCTTCCAGATTCTATTCTATTCTATTCTATTCTATTCTATTCTGTTTTATTCTATAGTCCAATATTTATTTTATTCTATTCTATAGTCCAATATTTATTCTATTCTATAGTCCAATATTTATTCTATTCTATTCTATTCTATTCTATTCTATTCTATTCTATTCTATTCTATTCTATTCTATTCTATTCTATTCTATTCTATCCTATCCTATCCTATCCTATTCTATTCTACTCTACCCTACCCTACCCTACCCCACCCCACCCCATCCCACCCCACCCCATCCTGTATTTGTGACAATTGCAGGGTGCCAGGATCACACGGCCGCCCTTTGCAAACTTTCCAGCTGATTTCCAGCAAGCAAAGTCAATTGGGGGAAGCTGAATTTGCTTAACGACTGCCAGCCACATGATTCCCTTAGCAACCGCAGTAATTTGCTTAATACCCATGACAAAAAGGTCGTAGAATGAAGCCGGAGTCAGTTAACCTCGCTTAGCAACGGCAATTCCTCTCCCCTAGGCAAAGATTGCCTAGTTGTCTGAACCTCTCAGCATACAGCACACACACACACACACACACACACACACACACACACAAATACACACCCAGAGAAAGGTAATAGCCTTTTTTCCTCCCCTTGAAACAGTTCTTCTTCTTTCTTCTTCCCATTTATCTTAAATTAACACATGGCTGCGTTTGAACCTGTTAAATCTCCCTTAAGTTCAGAAGGCTGGTTTGATATAATTATCTTTTAATATCTTGCATCCACCATGTCAAGCCTTCCTGGAAAAAGCCTCGTTAAAACACACACACACACACACACACACAATTCGTGATCCTAGCAACTTCATTTAAATTAAATTGGCATGGCATTAAGGTCTCCTGCTGGTGCCCACGTCCGCTGACCAACTTTTCTTCACCCAATTAAGACGCTTTCGGCTCTGAGGAAAACCGCTTTTTTGTTTTTCAGTGCAAAGGGTGTAACATTTGCTATCCCCAATTAAACTTCCAAATTGGAATGTTGCAAATTGGGGGGGGGGAGGAAGAAAAACAAAGAGGATTCCCCCCCCTTCTCTTATATAACCATGTGAGAGAAGGTGTTAATTTTGTCCCTTTTTTCTTGGTAAAGAATATTTATTGATTGCTTATTTATTAATTTTATTTGTTGCCCGCCTTGTAGTGACTGACTCTGGGCTTTCCATGGTAGACTGTGTCTGTGCCCATTCACAGATAGGAACGACCAATTTTATATATACAGGTAGTCCTTGACTTATAACAGTTTGCTTAGTGACCGTTTGAAGTTACAACGGCACTGAAAAAAAGTTACTTATGACTGTTTTCCACACTTACGACCGTTGCAGCGTTCCCCCATGGTCACGTGGCCAAAATTCAGCTCTATTATGGTCATAAGTCAAGGACTACCTATATATATGAAAGGAATCGAAGAAACCTTTGCAGAATTTCCCAAGATGTGTCTAAAGAGGCAATCTTCTTTTTTCCGTATCCATTCACATGTCTGGGCCAGTAAACCACCTCCAAAATACAGGATATTTTTAGATCCATTAATTTTGCCGTAAGGCAGAATTGTAGCCTCCTCCATATGGCAGCTTTTGTTGTCTTGAAAATGCAAATAATTGCACAGCTGACACACTTTAATCTCTCCGCAGCCAAGATACCTGGAGGCAGAACTTTTTTTTTTTTTTTCAGGGTGAGCTGCAGGAACAGGCACGCCATGGGCAGA